AAAAAAAAAAATAAGTAAAATAAAAAAGAAGATGGATGATGATGACGATTTTAACCACTGACGGGAAGTTTGTCGCAGGTTCGTACAACAAAAACTCTGATGAAGTAGTGCCCCGACAAAATGTTAGATACCCTATTAATGTTGTGTTGTACACTAGTAACTTGTTAGGAACTGCTCTAAGGCAGAATGCATTTGTATCTGTCACAAAGAAAAAGAAGACAAAATACGACGCCATTTTCATCAGAAGAGTACATAATCAATCCAGTTATTTATAAATGACAACAATTAAAGAAACGCAAAAATCCCAGCTGATAGATACATAATAAATAAACAGTTTAACATAGTCGACAGAAAGACCTTTCTTCCTTCTCTTTCTCTCTCTTCCTATATATATATATATATATATATATATATATATATATATATATATATATATATATATATATATATATATATGTGTGTGTGTGTGTGTGTGTGTGTGTATATATATATATATATATATATATATATATATAGTTAAACCTAGAGAGCCAGACAAACCTACCAAGGTTTCACCTAAGCGGGTCGTCAGGGAAGGCTGCCTCCCTTCCAGCCATCTCTGACGATCCGCTTTTAGACATTGCATGCTAGACGATTATTTTCGGTTAACATACATGTTCTTGGTTCTTTCTTTTTTATACCTTTTTTTACCTTTAGTTTGTTTGATTATTTGCCAATCAAGACGCCGAAGGTTTTCCAAGCTAGTATAGTTTCTTATACTTATAAAATCTCTAATAATAATAATAATAATATAATATATATATATATATATATATATATATATATATATATATTATATTTTTAGCATACATACGGATGATAATGGGTATGTCCCCATTCACATAAATACAGTAGTAAATACTGTATGTTGGTCTGCAGTCGGAGATTTGTCTTCAGCTGTGCTGGTCAAACGCTCTACTTCTGGGCAGAGAGGATCCCCAGACAAGGCTATGTCGAAGGGCAGACTCTAGTCTCGGGAAACAGCTACCCGACCTCGTTTTATACGGGGTCTACGGGGAATTTTTGGCCGAGCCTACGGTCTCGGATACCCCACATTAAATTCGGCCTTGTGCCACATCTTACCTCGTGGGGCGGTTGGTAGATATCTTGCAGTAAGAGTAAAATTGTACACTTGTTTGATTGTAACGGGTGTAGCAACACAACTGTCCAAATCGTGTAAAAGCTAAATTTTTCATTTGTTAGATTAAGCTTTGAATCGTTGTATCTTAGAAATGATTAAAGATATCTTACTGGAATTCTCCGAGGATTTTAAAACACTATTGGACTCTACTTTGAACAATAAGAATGTATAATTACTCTTGGAGAGTAATTATACATTCTTATTGTGCAAACAGAAAAATCGTGATGAAATCGATCATAAACGAAAATGACATGTTCATTGTTAATTAATCATAGCTACGGATCAAAATCTTATGAAGGATTGAAATAAAGTTCATATATATATATATATATATATATATATATATATATATATATATATTATTTCAGGATCATTTTCCAACTTATTCAAGATAAACTTCGCCACGTAATATTATATTAGTTTGTTTTCCAGCAATGGCTCTTTAAAGATGTGTTCTCAAATACATGACGCCTCCTATAAATTTAAGCACCTATCAACATTTTTTATTTCTATTAAATTTGTAAAACTCTCATATAAAAATAATGCATGTAAATGTATATGTAATAATATGGAAAAGAATAAAGATTTTCAATAATATATGCACATTATTTTGGAGTGCAACTTCTGAGTCGGGCAATCCTGGAAAGGGGTGGGGGTGATGACATTCTGACTTCTGGTAAAAAGGGTGCATTGGGCAAAAATAACGTTGCAAACCACTGGTTTAGAGAATATCTGTTTTGTGACAATGTCTATCGGCACCCAGTCATGGAACTAATGTTGATGGTGATGATGATGAAGACGATGATGAAAATGAGGAGGAGGAGGAGGATGCCTCGAGTATGGTGTGCCTTGACATTTCTTCTATTAGATCGAAAACTCTCATGATATTTCTCTCGATATGTCTAAAAGAGAAATGAGAATATCCAAATTTGGCGCATGCCGTGTAACATTATATTAGGTTGCCTTCCAGCCATGGCCCATTAAAGATGTGTTCTCAAATACTGAACGCACCTTATATAAATAAATTTAAACAACCATCAATATTTTCTATTGCTATTTAATTTTACTCTCTAAAAATAATCCATGTAATTTTTTTTTTTTACCAATATGGAAAACAGTGACGATTTTCTATAATATATGCATATTATTTGGTTTGCACCTTTTAAGATGGACAATTCTGGAAACGTGTGGAATGGTATTCAGACACATGGTGCATTGTGCAAAAAAAAAAAAAAAGGGTTCAGAACCACTGGGTTAGATAGACCACGTGCAACAAATTTAGTAGACCTCAAATATTGACGTAGATCACGAACTACGATAGCACTCCACAGACATTACATTTTGAGAGATGGAAATCGACAAAGGAAACTACGTTGCACTCGGTACTGGTTCTTTAAAGATTTGTGTTTGTGTGGTTCTGTTATTAATGGCTGAATTACACAATTAAGATAGGGCAATTAAAGAGAGAACAAGTATTACATTTTGAAAAACGCTATTAACAGCAGAACCATTTAGGTATTGCAATTAATTAACGTATTGCAGTTAAAGAAAACGTATTACATTTTGAAGAACGCTATTAATAGCAGAATCATTTAGGTATTGCAATTAATTAACGTATTGTAGTTAAAGAAAACGTATTACATTTTGAAGAACGCTATTAATAGCAGAATCATTTAGGTATTGCAATTAATTAACGTATTGTAGTTAAAGAAAACGTATTACATTTTGAAGAACGCTATTAATAGCAGAATCATTTAGGTATTGCAATTAATTAAGGTATTGCAGTTAAAGAAAACGTTTTACATTTTGAAGAACGTTATTAATAGCAGAACCATTTAGGTATTGCAATTAATTAACGTATTGCATTTAAAGAACATGTTTTACATTTTGAAGAACGCTATTAATAGCAGAACCATTTAGGTATTGCAATTAATTAACGTATTGCAGTTAAAGAAAACGTTTTACATTTTGAAGAACGCTATTAATAGCAGAATCATTCAGGTATTGCAATTAATTAAGGTATTGCTGTTAAAGAAAACGTTTTACATTTTGAAGAACTCTATTAATAGCAGAATCATTTAGGTATTGCAAATAATTAAGGTATTGCTGTTAAAGAAAACGTTTTACATTTTGAAGAACGCTATTAATAGCAGAATCATTTAGGTATTGCAATTAATTAAGGTATTGCAGTTAAAGAACACGTATTATATTTCAAAGAACACTCGCAATTACTCTAGAAGAAATTACCCATGAATTTTCACTATTTAAACTATCATGTCTGTCAGTAAAACAAAATAAAAGGGAAAATGGATTTATTCCTTGGATCTTTTCTGTTAATTCAGCTCAAAATAAAAAAAAAAGGAATTTATATTTACTAAAATTTACACCAAATTCTCCCCGAACGAAGTTCTTCCATTGCACTCCGGTTGGGTTGACAAAAATTTGATTTAAAATTTATAATTTTAAATGTGTGCCAAAAATTTAATAAAAAAACAAATTTTGATTTAAAATTTATAATTTCAAAAATGTGCCAAAAAAATTAATAAAAAGCAAAATTTGATGAAAATTTTATAATTTCAAAAGTGTGCCAAAAATTTAATAAAAAGCAAAATTTGTTTTAAAATTTATAATTTCAAAAGTGTGCCAAAAATGTAATAAAAAACAAACTTTGATTTAAATTTTATAATTTCAAAAGAGTAGCAACAATTTAATGAAAAACACACTAACTTTGATTTAAAATTTATAATTTCTTGGGGTGTATTAATATTTACGATAAGTAACTTTACATTATTTGGGGCGAATTAACAGAAAGCATCCCATGCCTTTCTCCAGAGAATAATTACTAAAAGCAGTTGCTACGGGAATTCATGTCTGATTGTTCCCCCCCTTTTTTGCCAGTGTTACTAAGGAGAACAGTTTTCATATGTTTAACCTTATTTTTATAGGCGCATATTGTACGATTTAATTCTAAAGCATTTTCCTCGTCGCTTGTTGAGGAAAGAAAAGAAATGTTACGTTATTTTTATCACCACCCCGACGCCATCAAACAGAGTAATAAAAAAAGAAGAAAAAAAGAAGAAAAAAATGAAAGAAACAAGAAAAAAGAAAAAAAGAAAAAAAATAAGAAAAAAAATTAAAGAAACAAGAAAAAAGAAAAAAAGAAAAAAAGAAGAAAAAAAGAAGAAAAAAGAAAAAAAAGAAAAAAGAAGAAAAAAATTAAAGCAACAAGAAAAAAGAAAAAAGAAGAAAAAAATTAAAGAAACAAGAAAAAGCAAGAAAAAACAAGAAAAAATTTAAAAACAAGAACATTTTTTAAAAAACAAGAAAAAATAAGAAAAGAAAAAACAAGAAAAAAGATAAGAAAAAAGAAAAAACAAGAAAAAATAAAAAACAAGAAAAAATAAAAAACAAGAAAAAAACAAGAAAAAACAAAAAAGTTTAAAAAAAACAAGAAAAAATAAAAAACAAGAAAAAATACAAGAAAAAAGTTTTTAAAAAAAAAACAAGAAAAAAGGTAAGAAAAAATAATAATAAAAAGAAAAAAAATAAACTAAAAAAAAAAAAAGGTGTGCGTCTCTACCTTTCAACTAACACAAGGGATATCTCAAAATCCCTAACACCAAACAATCCCCACCCCTCCAACTGGTAACGACACGCTCCGTCTCGTGAGACCCAAGTAAAAACTCAGTCAAGGCACCCAACCCCGCCTCTGACTATTTGATGCGCTGGTACCTCAGCTTCCTGCTGAGGGGGGGGGGGGCTTAATCCCTTTGCCTTCTCAATGTGTTAGATAAATATTCGAAATCCTTAAAGGGAAAATATGGGCTGGTTGACGGTCGGGGTTAGGTGTCAGTATTGAATTAGGCTTTTATAGGTGGGGTGGGGGAACTGGAAGGGTCGAGGTGATTTCAGGTAATCTGGGGCGTGAGAAAGTTTGCCTACCGTTTCCCACGGTGACGCTAGCGGGTGTGGAAAGGGTGGATGAAAGGCAAACTACTTGAGAATAGGGATTTCTGTGTTTAGCAACGGGGGTAAAGAAGGAAGTGTTTATCATCGTTATGTACTGCAATATTTCGCGTTATTTTGTTTAGGTTCGTTAATTCTTTTTATTATATCCAAATTTATTTAATTAGCTGGGAAATGAAGTCGTCCTAAATTTATCCAAGGTTTAAACTAATACGATCAATTTAAAGAACAAAAATATAATTAAAGAAGAAAATTAAAATAATAATAATAATAATAAATAAAACGATATCATTATTATTATTTTTTTTACTGGTAAATTATTGTGCGTGCAATACAAGGCCCTAGAGCCACTCAAGGTAGAACGTTAATAAATGCGGTTGTAATAGCGTACAGTGAGAGGGGAAAAGGTGCACATCATGAAATAGACACAGCACGTAAATGATAATCTAAGTCAATATTTTCACAATAAATCTGATATTAACAATACCAGGCCTAAAAGCCACTCAAGGTAGGGCGTACCTAAATGCAGATTTGTAAGGGTGTGCAGAGAGGGAGCAGGAGCTGTATATTACGAAAGGGATGTGGCACGTAAATGATGATCTAAGTCAATGTTTTCACAATAAAAATGATATTAACAATACAAGGCCTAAGAGCCAATCAATGTAGAGCGTACCTAAATATGGTTTTATAAAGGTGTGCAGGGTGGGAAGCAAAAGGTGAATACTATTTGGCCCTATATGACCCTAGACTTCAGTCAGTTAAGATCGTAATGATCGAGGAAAGATCTTATCTGGAGTCGGTTCCACATTGCTACAATTCTGGGGAAGAAGCTGTTTGAATGGAACCTCCTCCTTACTAATGGAATATAAATGGAATAAATAGGCGTCGAGTCGGTGTACGTTGCCTGGGGGGGTCCTAGCTGTGAGGGTTTGGTGTCCTCTTGGGCATGTGTTCTATAGGGTAGTGGTCCGCGGGAAGAATCTGTTTTAGCTTCCATTCCTATCTATATAAACTATCCCTTATCGTAACCCTCTACCTTGAGTGGCCTCCGGGCCTTGTGGAACTCACTTCTCACCGATGCTATACGGAGGGAATAAAGGTGGTTTGATCCAATGGGCGTGGCATGGTGGGTGCTAGCCGTGAAGGTTACCCCTGGCGGAACCAAGGAATATATTTCGTTTGAGCACTTTCCAGGTTAATAGCGATAGAGTAGTGAGAGACTCGCCACATCCCGCCTCTGAAAGAGAGATTTGGAAGGCGGAAAATAATTATTCTTCAACAAGGGCTAGGAGGCACTTTTGAACTTTACCCTGACTGGAAAGTGAGGTCTGGGCAGATCCCACCCAAATATGACCACAATTCACCATTTTCGGCCTGATCTGGCTCTTATAAAGGTAAGGGATTGTATGAGGAGTCAGATACTTACTAGTGCGGTACAAAGAGCTGAATATTTTACCTGCATCTTTTACCGATGGATTGTATATAATTGTATATATAAAATGATCTGAATGCTGGACCTTAGAAATTGTCTTCCGGTACCGCATGCGATGACCATATGAAAAACACTGTCAAGTGACAACACCAAGAATACTTTATTTTTGGCAGTGCGTCTAGTCTAGCCACCGCCCGCTCACGTCCGAATTATCATCCTCTCTCCTTATTTTCTTTCCTCCCTCCTGGTGTTGGTGGTGGAGATGGAGCTGTTTTGTTGCAGTACTCAAAGAAAGTGGTCATATGTAGTTCGTCTGAGCACTTTTAGTAGTAGCGATAGACCAGTAAGAGACTTGTCACATCCCACCTCTGAGGTCCGAGGGCGGAAAACAAGGACTCGGATACGCTTTTGAACTCTCTAAAGACTGGAAAATGAGGTCTGGTTAGCCCCTGTCCAAATATGACAACAGGAATCCATTTTAGGCCTGATCTGGCTCTTATAAAGATAGAAGATAGCATGAGGGGTCAGGTACTTACTGGGGTGGTACAGAGAGCCAATCATTTTACCTGAATCTTTAGCGATAGATCGTATATAGGAATTCCACTTGTGGTCATCCATATGAATGACAAAGTAGAAAAAACGCTTTTGTGTAACGCGTTTCGATCTCTAGAAAGACTTCATCAGACTAAAGTAATATTATTGTTGGTGGAATTATATTTGGGTAGAAAAATGAGGGGTGATATAAAGACGCAAGCGTAGGTTAGAATTGTGTACCGATAGGAAATGCCGAAGCTGTTGGAACGCTGGAGTTTTCAATTTTAAAATGTATTTTTTTTCAGACCTGTCTGAACATGTTGTCTAGCCGATTATCTTCAGTTTTCTTTCGTTTCTGTTTTCATCACTTTTGCTATTAAATATCTCTGTATATAAAGTTTTAGCCTCTGTCTGTCTGTCTGATTTGTTACCGGTCTCCTCCTTGGGTTTTGGAGATAGACCTACATAACCATATATATTCTGAAACTACATTACCCAGGGTACTTAGATAAGTATATTTCATTTGGGGGATGGGGGGGGTCATCGAAAGTAACAAACTCCCACTATTGAAACTTATCTTCCTTTAATTTAAATTAAATTTCAATTTGAACAAGGGAATAAGTCTTATCCAAAACATAGAATGAGAAAGCCAGAAAATGGAGGTCACATCGGTATAATCATTTTGCTTAAAGGGAGTCCTCGGGGGGGTGGGGCACAAACATCTCACTGATTTTTCCCCTTTGATATAAATTAAATTTAATTTTGAACAAGGGAATGTCTCCTAAGATACTTGGGTAACTATATTTCATATTGATCAATGCGATCCCCGGCGAGCCCAAATCAACCATTTTTTTTTCATTTTGATTGAAATTAAATTTAAATTTTAAAAAGGGAATAACTCCTATCGAAAATATAGGAGAAAGCCAGAAGATGGAGGTCACATTGGCAGGATCAAAATAAGACAATATTGAGCAAGAAATCACCAGTTAGTAGGTAGTGCCTTAAGATATATATTTGTTGCGGCAATTCAACTATCATATCAATGTTGAAATCAATTCATTCAATCAAGTATTGCATTAAATACATACCAAAAGGGGTAAGATCAAGTTGTTTTGCAACCCAACCTACTGATTTTGTTTTCCTTTTTGATTTAAATTAAATTTAAATTTGAACAAGGGAATGATTCCTATCCAAAATATAGGAGAAATTCAGAAGATGGAGGTCACACCGGCAAGATCATTGAGTAATATTGAAATGCATCATTTTTATCCACAAATTCTAACAATGATTTAAAGTCAGTCATCATTTTCTTACAAAAAAATGTGTCACGTGCAGCAAGTTGCGGGTAATTCAGCTAGTATATAATAATGGAAGATCAACCAAGAAAGACGAAATCATTTTGTTGAGTCGCAGTCTCTTGCCATCTGCTTTTATTTATTTATTTATTTATTATTATGCTGTAAATATTAAACATTTTGGCGCTTAAGGATCGAGCAGAAAGAGGGCGAAAAAGGAAGAATATCATCTCAGTAATGTTGGAGAGTCTACCGGTCGCAACAAAGTAATAAAGATGAGGATACTCGATCAAATATATCTTCTTCTTCTTGTCTTTTCTTCTTCTTCTCTTTCTTCTTCTTTCGCTTCTTCTTCTTCTTCTTCTTTCGCTTCTTCTTCTTCTTCTTTTGCTTCTTCTCATTCTTCTTCTTCTTCTTCTTCTTCTTCTTCTTTCGCTTCTTCTTGTATTTTTCTTCTTCTTCTCTTTCTTCTTCTTTCGCTTCTTCTTCTTCTTCTTTTGCTTCTTCTCATTTTTCTTCTTCTTCTTTCGCTTCTTCTTGTATTATTTTCTTCTTCTCTTTCTTCTTCTTTCGCTTCTTCTCTTTTTTCTTCTTCTTCTCTTTTTCTTTCCTCTTCTTTCGCTTCGTTTTCTTCTTCTTCTCATTCTTCTTCTTCTTCTTCTTTCGCTTCTTCTTGTATTTTTCTTCTTCTTCTCTTCTTCTTCTTTCGCTTCTTCTCATTCTTCTTCTTCTTTCGCTTCTTCTTGTATTATTTTCTTCTTCTCTTTCTTCTTCTTTCGCTTCTTCTTCTAATTCTTCTTTCGCTTCTTCTTCTTCTTCTTCTTCTTCTTCTCATTCTTCTTCTTCTTCTTCTTGTTTTTCTTCTTCTAGTCTTTCTTCTTCTTTCGCCTCTTCTTCTCTTTCTCCTTCTCTTTCTCTTTCCTCTTCTTTCGCTTCTTCTTCTTTTTCTTTCAATCGATTTTTTTTCATCCTTGACGTCCTTGATTTCATTTTTCATCTTTTTTTTCTCTTTTCTTTCAAATTATTCTTTGTTATGCTTCTTTATTTTATCACCCCAACACCCCACTACCCCCACCACCAAAAAAAAAAGAAAAAAAAAAAGACTTCTTCATATATTCCAGTCATTCAGTGTCTTTTATTTCTTTTAATTGACGTCTTTTGGTATCGTTTCGTTTTCCTTTGTTTTTTTTTAAGTCATTTCTTCCTTCTTTTCTATTTCTTCTTTTAGTTTCTTTTTCTTTCTTTTTTTTTAATGTTGTTCTTTTTTCATTTGAACTATTTTTATTCATTCATTTATTATTCCTTTTTTTTTTCTTCATCGTTGGCATTTCCCTTTTTGTCTACTTTTCTTCATTACATTCTATTCTGTTTTGCTTTCCTTCATTCTTTTTTTTAACATGATTTTTTTCTTTTTTTCATTCGTTCTTTCTTTTTTTCTTTCTTTCTACATCATTTTTCTTAGCTACTTTTATCCAATCTTCTTTTCAATTCTTCTCTTCAACAATCTCTCCTTTCTTTTTTGGTTTCCTTTTTTGCTTTAAAATTTCTTTCTTTCTTTCTTTCTTTCTTTCTTTCTTTCCCCGTCATTTTTCTTCGCTACTTTTATTCATTCTTCTTTCAATTCTTCTCTTTGACAATTCCTCCATTCTTTTTGGTTTCTTTTATTCTGTAAAATTTCTGTCGTTCTTCTTTCTTTCTTTCTTTCTTTCTTTCTTTCTTTCTTTCTTTCTTTCTTAGTTCTTTTCTTTTCATTTTCTACAATCCTTAGCTTCAGCTATATTCGATCTTTCTATAAACCTTTACTTCTTTTAGTCCTTTTCTTCGACAAATGACTTTATTTCTTTATTTTTTTCTCCTTTCCTTTTTTAAATATTTTTCTTTCTTTCCATCATTAGTCTTTCTTGATTTGCTGCTTTCAGTTCTTTCCTACAATTTCCCTTTCTTTTTTGTTTTCCTTCCTTTATTAAATAATTTTCTTTCTTTCTTTCGTCTTTATTCTTGTCTTCATTCTTAGCTCTTTTTTGCTTTTCATAGTTCCTCATTTCTCAATTTTAGATATTTTCAATCTTTCTATAGATTTTTATTTCTTTCATTTTTTCCCTCTTTTTTATTTTTCCTTCCATCCTCCTTCACTCTCTCCTTTCCTTCCTTCCTTCGTTTTGTCAAAATGCGGCCCTTTTCCATTTCTTCCTTACTCAAGGAAATTTCTCGTTTTGCCTTCCATTTACACTTTTTTCCTTTCTTCTTCTTCTTCTTCTACTACTTCTTCTTCTTCTTCTTCTTCTTCTTTCAATTCTTCTTCTTCTTTCCCTTCTTCGGCTCTTTTTGCTTCGTTTTCTTCTTCTTCTTTCGCTTCTTCTTCTTCTTCTTCTTCTCTTTTTTCTTCTTTCCTTTCTTCTTCTCATTCTTCTCATTCTTCTTTTTCGCTTCTTCTTCTTCTTGCGCTTTTTCTTCTCTTTCTTCTTTTTCCTCTTCACTTTCTTCTTCTTTCGCTTCTTTTTCCCTTTCTTCTTTTTCTTTTTCCTTCTTCTCCTCCTCCTTCTTCTTCTTCTTCGTTTTCGCTTTTTCTTCTTCTTTCGCTTCTTCTTCTTTCGCTTCTACTTCTTCTTCTTCTTCTTCTTTCGCTTCTTTTTCTCTTTCTTCTTCTTTCGCTTCTTCTTCTCTTTTTCTTCTTTCGTTTCTTCTTATTATTATTATTCTTTTTCGCTTCTTCTTCTTCTTCTTTCGCTTCTTCTTCTCTTTCATCTTCTTCTTCTTCTTCTGTGCCTACATCTTTTAATTTCTTCCCTATTTATTCCTCATTGCCACAAGGAAATCGTTTCTTTTCTATTCCTTATTCCCAAACCTTTTCGCATTCTATTCCTTCACTGACGAACCAAATAATAGCTTCGGTTTTTCCCGCCCGAGCAAAAACTCTCGTTTGCGCAGCGCAAACAAAATGGCGCAAAAGAATTTCCGCTTACATACCTATTTTCAAAAGCCTCATTCATTCTCGTACTTTTCCTATTATTTAGAACGATGTGCGGGCATATTGATAGTGGTTTTATTTTTTTTTCTCCTTTTTTTTGGCCAACTGATTAGCAAGCCTACTGCAGACAATCCATTCATCCACTTGTAAGATTCACGATACTCGAGGGCATAAATATTAAAACCGGGATATCGAATCTTTTCTTTAATCTCTGTCTCTCTCGTCATGTTCACCACAGGAAGATCATTTATAGTCTTACAAAATCCAAAATGCCCTGGAGTATATACACCATCTTCTCACACATCTCAACTTTCAAACAAAAAGTGACAATGTTTTTTTATTATTTTTTTTTTTAATAGTTAGGAAAAGTATTATTTTAATACCAAAACTTCTGCACCCTTTGGTGTTTCGAAACGAAATGTGATAACTGGACATTACTGCAGATGTCAACAGAGTTACACACGCTAGTGCTCACATTGTAAGACACGCCAAAAGGACTTTATTATGAGAACATTACTAAAATCTGAAGAATTCCATATAAAGCATCTAACGCTTCACAAACGCACATATATATATATATATATATATATATATATATATATATATATATATATATAGAATACAGGAATGTATATACGGAATAAATTCCAATAACCTACAAATACTATTCTTAAAAGAGTGCTCAATACAGAGTAGAGCAAATATAATTATTTATTCGAAAATTATAACATAAATATGTGATTTTATAACATGTTTATTTTAAAATTTTCGAATAAATGATTATATATATATATATATATATATATATATATATATATACTTGTTGTGGTAGGATCCACCTAATTTGCATAGTGGAGTACCGACCATATAAATATGGTTGGTACCGGGAAGAGAGGGAGGAATCAAGAGATTCAATCCAGAGACTCTGCCCGACTGCGACTCAGTCAACACATTCTCCAGGAATGGTCTTCCCAGGAATATACAAAGGACTATATGTAAATATTGTGTACACTTTCTTGTTTTCAATACATTTTGTTCTAAGTACATTTTGTGTTGCATTGTGACGGTTACACACCTGGCCCAGGGTCGAATCCCTTGGTTACGGCGCCAACTGTGACGTCGCTCCTCCTGGTCGCTCCTCCTGGTTCCAAGCGTGCCGCTCCAACCCCTTGGTTGGATGATCACCAGCCTCGCCTTTCCCAACTCGCTTCCAATACCTGGTTACTGAAGCAACTGTACTGATCTCCGGTCTGTCTACCCACGCTGTGTTTAGATCTTGGACAGACGGGACCAGCAGGGATTGGGGCCGATACAAGTTGAGTCCGACGGGGTGGCAAAACACAAGTAAAAAAAAAAAAAAACTCACGAGACAAAAATTACTGATAAAAAGGGTGACAACCTTTTATATCTAATGTCCGTTACATAAAGAAAAATTGTTCTTATTTCCCGACCCGCTCTGTGGACTATGGCACCAAGCCTCTATCATACAACTTAAAGATTTCGAGTTGTCTACTCTTCAGAATTATGTATGTCGGGTGTGGTCTAGTTCGACACTGGGGCTAATTTCTATCGATCATTCGCAGTTGATTCTTCTCTTCGACTTGAGTTGTATTTCTTCTTCTTCGTCGACTAAGATAGAACTTCTCTTGTCTTCGACTTGGCTGCAACTTCTCTTGTCTTCGACTTGGCTGCAACTTCTCTTGTCTTCGACTTGGCTGCAACTTCTCTGCGGCTCTCGAGTAATCTTCTTCTTCGTCTGCTTGGGCTGGAAGTTCTCGTGTCTTCGACTTGGGTGCAACTTCTCTGCGGCTTTCGGGTAATCTTCTTTTTCGTCTGCTTGGGCTGGAAGTTCTCTTGTCTTCGACTTGGGCTGGAAGGATTTCTTGTCTGAGGATTCTTTTGCCCGCAAAGGGGCGAGTGAATCGGGCCCGATGCCCGCGTTCAGGCTCTTTCCCTGCCCGCGGTCCAGCTGCAACTCCACTCCAACTGATTTCTGTCGACTGGGGTCCTGCTTTTATTGACGCCGCAACAAACTGGGGTGGGTCTGTCGGCGTCAGGGTTTTCTCAATAATTCCAATAGCTGCCTTATTTCTGTCTTCTCATTATCGCTATTGTTTTCACCCCTACTTCCTCACAGTGCCCTTGGTGGGGAGGCGCACATCCATCTTTCCCGGTCCCTCGTATGTCAGGTGACCGCTCTCGACCAATGATTCCTGATCGAGCACTTCTTTCTCTTCTTTTCCGCATGCCACGTGACCGTTTCCGACCAACTGTTATTGATCGAGCATCCTTTCTCCTCCTTTCGGGCGTGGTTACATCGTTCTTGTTTAAAAAAAAACAAAATCTAATTTTGCCTTTTTTGCACGTACGAAAAATGACAATCTTGGCTTTTTCTCACCTGGGCTCTGTCAAACAGCCTGCCGCTAATTAGATGTGACTTCAGGGAAGAATATTGGCGCTATCTGTGAACTGAGACAATCGTTTTTTTTCACCTCTTGTTTTTGTCAGACCAGACAGTCAGAAAATCTTAATTATCTACATTGAAAATGTCCCCACTTTGTTATCATGGGTTTCCAATTCTTAATAGGTCAGAATCTGTATATAGTCCCACCGGTCCTCCCCTCAACCCAAAAGACACTTTTTTTCTCCGATTAAAAAAAATTTCGTTTCTATTGTTCTAAAAGAATTTCCCTTTCTCCAATTTGACAATGAGTCTTTCCACGCAAAAAGTAGGCTAGGTGCTCTGACCGATTTTCTTATCAATTGCCAAAACACTGTCATCAAGCCTGGTTCTTTTTCTCCCTCTTAATGATTTTTTCATTTCAAATAACAATTCTCTATTGTCCTTTAAAATTCGGCCACACGCAGGCCAAGATATCTTTCTGACACTTATCTTCGCTTATGACTGGGTCATGCATCATCTAACTCTTCTTTCTTTTTTTTTTTCTTTTTCTTCCTCTTTCTTTTCTTTTTCTTTTAGGATCGTCTAAGTACAATCTTAGTGAATTATTTTCAACTCAATTATTTTCCGTTAAAAAAAAATCAACAACCTGTTTAGTAAACCGAGTAAAAAAAAATTAAATCATATTTCTATGAATATTTCTAATAATGCAAGGTGCCACAGCATTATTATTCCATGCATTAGTCACGTTTCAACAATACTGAAAAAAAAAGAAGAAAGCACCACAAACTTCCGAAGAGGGTGAAAGAAATCGTCCATTACATTAAATTTCTGGTACGAAGAAAAAAAAAAAAAAAAACAGCGAGTAATAATTTAAAACGAAGAGTGCGTAAAGGTAAAATAAATAAATCCTAATGAGGCAGGGACTACCCTAGGTTTCACCACATGGGATCGTCAGGGGGAACTGGAGCCAGTTCACCTTAATGATCCCATGTGGTGAAACGTAGGTAGGTAGTCCCTGGCTTATTATCATTCATCATATATATATATATATACATATATACATATATATATATAGAGAGAGAGAGAGAGAGAGAGAGAGAGAGAGAGACGTATCATGAGAACAAATGGAGTATAATTTCACTGCATGTAACATTTAATTTAAAAGATGGATCCATACATAGTTGAGCTAAATATTATTTATTTTAGGATATTAAAAGATGTTAAAAATCGTTATATAATGGCAGTTATGTATCAACACCATAAATGTGTCTCGTCATGAAGATTATTTTTTAAATCAATCTTTCACTCGCCAGTAGTCTAACGTCGCCCGAGGAGACACATTTATGGTGTTGAAACATAACTGCCATTATATACCAATTTGTAACATGTTTTAGTAAAATAAAAAAAATTATATATATATATATATATATATATATATATATATATATATTTAAATTTGTCATTGTTAGGGATTATTCAATAATAATCGAATGAGAGCTTAAAAATAAAGAAAACTACTTTAAAAAAATCTATAACGGTTTGAATTTATTTCATGATTTTTTTTATATCTCTTCAGACCAAATTTTTTTTAAGAAATATTTTTGTGCAGAGATGAATATAATGACATTCATGAAATAAATTATAACCGAAATTGATATATATATATATATATATATATATAAACAAATAAATATTTATGTATATATAATATATATATATATATATATATATATATATATATATATATAAATGATAAACACAGAAAACTTTTATATATATATATATATATATACATATATATATATATATAAATGATAAACAAAGAAAACTTTATATATATATATATATATATATATATATATATATATATATATATATAAATGATAAACAAAGAAAACTTTATGTATATATACCCCCACCTCTACCAAATATCTAAACAATACAAACCAATCAGGAAATTACAAATGTAACAAACCTCGTTGATTAGTTTGCAAACACTTAATAATAATGTATTTTCTGTACCCAACACCAATATCACGATACACCTACCTCACCTCACATGTGATAGCCATAACATAATCTACTATTTATTCTGCACCTTATGTTCTAATAGTGGATATATTGGTGAATCTGGAAATATTTTTAGATTTCGCTTCAACAATCATAAACAAACCATACGTCTAAACAATCCTTATTCCCCCATAGGTGAACACTTTAATCAATAAGGACACTCATTAGAAAACTGTAAATGTTTATTGATAGATTCTGATTTCAGTTCCAAATACACACGCAGAAAAAAAATTATATGTTAGCTCTATCTCTGATATTGAGCGCTTTCTAATAAGTACTGCGCATATAATATATAAATAATAATATATATAATATATTACATATATATATATATATATATATATATGTATACACACACTTTCTTAGATATATATATATATATATATATATATATATATATATATATATATATTCATACATGTTTCATTAAATAATATAGACAAGTGTTGTCTATTTATTTTACGCAAATTCTTTTC